GGGTTTAGGGTTTATAGGGTTTAGCGCTTATAGGGTTTATAGGGTTTAGGGTCTAGGCTTTAGGGATCCTAAACCTCGATATCCTCAGCCCCGCGCGGAAACCGTTAAGGCCCTAAGCCCTCCGTGAGCCCGTAAAGGTAAGCACCGCCGAGCTTGCGGCGGCCAGAACGCTTGTGCTGCCTGGGATGAAGCAGGCAAGGTCCTAAACCCTAAACCCTAAAGCCCTAAACCCTAAAACCCTAAACCCTAAACGCTAAACCTCTAGACCCTAAACCCTAAACCCTAAGCAGGCAAGGTGCGGGGATGCAAGGCCAGAAGGATCCGAGGCTGCCCATAATATAGGGGCCTAAATAGTTACCAATACTATTTTGGGGGGTTCCTTATTCTAATCATAGTATAATGGACACCCCAAAACCATATTCTAATATATATTAAGGCCCCTACATTACCCCTTTGGGCTCGCGTTGAGTGTTCTGTTGTGGCACTCAAAATATGAGGGTTTAGAGCTCTGGGTGCGGGGATGGCAGGGTGTCGGGTGTTGTAGGGTTTAGGGTTCAAGGCATTGGGGTTTGGGTCATATTGTCTGGCGGTTTATGTGCCCCATGTTCAAGAGACGTCCTTCGTCGCATGCAACATCTTCGCCGGGTCATTGGCATAAGATGGCGGTTCCGGATTGGAGGTTCTATTGTTTAGGGATTTGCTCATCTCTTTCATGCCCTTTTTCAGGTTCCGGCGCCGGAGGCACGTGGTGAGCAAGGCCAGGCCACTTGCAGGGGGCTTAGGAATTGGTTTGCTTTTCCTACTACCGCCTGTTTACTTTTCGATTGTTGTTGTTTTCGTCGCTCTGGTTTGCCATGCTCGCGCAGTAACTTGGTGCTTCTGGCTATATGTCCTGTTCTGTAAATAAGCACGCTCAGTGTGGTGAGACGAATGATCATGGTATCTCTGCCTGTGAGCTCCGTTTTTCAATAATGTCCCAGGGTTTGCACACACAGTCATCTCCCTGTTCGAAGCATCCTCCATGCACACGCAACGCTGCAAACTGGTTCAGTTGGTGCACAGGAGGTTTTAATGCGCACAATCCCGGTTAGTTTTTGGGAGGTTCCCATGCACGGTTACATCAACCCCAGAACATGCCATACTCTCGAGTTGCCGCACGCTCGCGAGGAGGCAGCCCCTGCTCGCAAGGATTTTTTGCTGGGGTAGCTAGCGAAAGGCTGCGATACCCACTACCCTCGGAAGACTTATCATTCAGCCCTGTGTCCAAATTCAAGTCATTATCGACAGAAGCTTCTTCAACCTTACAGAAATCCTTTAAGCCTTAAAATCCTTAAAACCCTTAGAATCCCCCCAAACCCCCTAAAGACCCGAGGCGCGCGCGAGGCGCGCTCCATCGCCGCCGCGCTGCTGCAAACCACACTTCCCTCTGTGGGTGTCGAGGATCAGCTGCTCCAGGACAAGTTCAAAGGGAGCTAACAACAAAAAGGGAGCCTTAATATAGTAGTGTTACATATAATTTAGAATTTTAATGGGTTTCTGTGAAGACTTCATAGAAGAGTTAGTATAGGAACCGCAATTTAAGGCCTTGAGAATTACAAATTATAGGGTTTTGGATGTTTTTATACTTGAATTCTAGGGGAAACCGTAAGGGAACAGTAGTGGTACTTATTCAGGCTCCGTTTCCTAAGAGCATGAGCCAAATTTTCTGCAGCAGTCATGAGGACAAACATGCTGGATTGATAGCCGGAGCAACAAAAGACATCATACATTTTTATTTTTTCGTTGATGATTATAGTGATATTGGAAGCAGTGGCGGTAGCTCTCGTGAACGGGGTATTGTTGATGATAGAAGTGGCAGTGGTAGTTGCAGTGGCAGGAGAAGAAATCGGGGTGGAGTAGCGCAGAAGTTTACGCGTGCCGTCGTGATGGTTGCGTTCCGTCGTGCCCATGTCGAGCCAAATTCCCGCACTCTTGATAAAGAGCCCACGCCAGGCAGAGAAGGAGGAGCGTCGCGAGTTTGAGGCAAGCCTCGTACCTGTAGGAGCATGGAATCACCACAGAGGGTAGCAGGTGCTGGAGGCTGCGAGTACGGCCAGCCGGTTTTGGTGTTTAATGGGCAGGTAGACTTTGACACGGTTTGCTGAATGCGTCCCCCGACATGCTTGAAACACACAACCTTCGGAGCCAGCCGCCGAAATCTGCATTGCAAGATACCGAGTCATTTGTGTCCTTTGCGCTGGAGGTTGTGCTCTGCTTACTAGCTACCGTGTCTGGCTCCCTTTGAAATTTATGTTCGATCAGCTGCATTCTGTCCCAGAATTGGGCCCATGAATTCAGGCTGAGCAGGCTGCTGCAGCGGCAGCCGCAGAGGAAGCCGCATCTGCTTGTCAAAACCCCGCTTGCCCTGAGGTTGCTTGGGGGTTCAGGTCCTGTCGGCTTGGTACAGGACTTGGTGTAAAGTGTCTGCATGCATGCATGTATATGTATATG